GAAGACACTTCCTTTTTTCCGGACCAGAGTCTGAATAACATTTTTTCATATTCGGACTCGAGTCCGAATAAGAATTTTTTTTATTCGGACGTGAAAAAATTTTATTCAGACTCGAGTCCGAATAAAGACGGCCTTTACTTTTACACCCACTCATAGATGCAGTGACTGATATGAAGGTTAAACTGCCATAATTTTTGCTGCAGAACACACATATAGTCACTAAAACCCTTGCAAATCAATTGTTTTCATGTAAATATCAATCCTAATTTGCCAAAACATCAAAACATTGTGAAATTCAGGGGGGCATGCCCCCCTGAAACCCCCCAGTTTCTTTTTAGGTCTGGGTGGATGCCCCCCTGAAACCCCCCATGTTGTAAGAAGTAAGTAAAATATATGTCGTTAAATGTAGAAAAGACGCATCTTTCTGATTGGCTGCTAATTTTAGTACTGTGACGTCATCACTTCCTGGGATACCCATATGGAACGACGTGTTTTCGGTAACATTTCGGATTTCCTAGATCTAGATTAGATCTAATCTAGATAGTAGGCCTATACTTGGACATGATGGAAGACCGCACGAAAATTGCCGTAAAGTCGCAGGAGGATTAGATCTTAGAATATCTAAATCTAGAACTAGATCTACCACCCCCCCCTCCCCTCTCCTGCATTTTTAATCACTATAATATATTTTTTTTTAAAAACAACTTCAAAGCAACTGTACAAATTAGGCCTATAATTTATGGGACTGTTGGTCAGTCGCGAGGAGGAGAAGAGAAAGGCCACCTCTATTCTCACCCCGGGTGAGAATAGCGCAGGCGAGTCTTTTGGCAATTCTCACCCGGTGTGTGTTCACCGTTATAGCCTAGATCTAGGCCAACCAATTTTGCGTTCACCCTGAACCACAGAATTCTACACTGTGATTACAGAAAAATAAAATTGTAGAATTCTGTGCCGTGAACAAATGTTCCATTACTACTGTTAGCCTAAAAGTAAAAGCGTACAATTTTGACTGTGGGCAGTGGAGAGAGCGTGAGAGAGAGAAAGAGAGAGAGAGAGGAGTAGCGCGAGAACTTCCGGGCAAAACAAAATGGCGACCGGCGTAGTTTGGCTCGATTCGAAAAGTTAAATAGCCGTAGCATCTTTGTAGACGACCAAATTAATTTACTTTTGTGTTTTAATATCATTTTAGAACTTTATTTTGGTCAATTTGATCGTCCACACCGATAGACAGTATTCAGAAAGAGACAGAGAGAGAGAAGAGGGGAGGAGTAGATCTTGCGAGAACTTCCGGGCAAAACAAAATGGCGACCGGCGTAGTTCGGCTCGATTCGAAAAGTGAAATAGCCATAGCATCTTTGTAGACGATCAAATTAGCTTACTTTTGTGCTATAACGTAATTTTTTCTTTGATTTTATCCATTTGATCATCCACACTGATATTTCTAAAGTATTCCGAAATTAGGAAAAACAGGTCTTGTTTCACACCGGGTGAGAATAGCCAACGGTGGCAAGGCTCACCCGGGGTGAGAGGTCGGTCGTATTTTTATTCTCACCCCTGGTGAGGATAGGGGTCGAACCGCTCCAAAAATCATTGCACAACTTCAAACGCAGACGCGCTGTCTATTCAGCCATCAGAACTTCCAAGAGAGAGAGATGTAGATTAAGCATGATATACATAGACACAGCCATCTTTGGTGCCTTGCGGTTGGCTATACTTAGATGTAGTTACGTGATCAGAGGGGTATCGTGGTCTGATGTTAAACAAGATGGGCGCCTTACCTAAAAATAGTTTGCGTCTTTCTACGTTTAATTGCATGTGTCAAATATTACTACGCCACTGGTCCTAGTTCTGTTTTCAAACATGAATTAGTTCTGTTTTCAAACATGAATAACTCAGTAACTATTGATTTGCGGCAAAAATGAAGGCCATATTCGTGCAAAATACTACTAGAAAAAAAGTATAACAAACCTGTACTTGAGACGGGTGTATTAGTAAAAAAATACCCTAAGAAGTTCAGTGCTTTTTCGGTAGTTCCCACCCCTCTTATTTGAGCCTAGATCTAGATCTACATCGAGATCTATAACTAGATCTAGATTACATCTAGATATCTAGATCTAGATCTATATGTCAAGCGCCATTTGCCGATCAGCGTGATCTTAAGATGGCGGAGAACCATATGACGATCCGCAGAAAGCGCGGCCATCTCGAGATGGGCGCGCCATCTACGAATTATTTCCGAAAATGAATAGAGCTGCGCGATCTTAAGATTGTGCTAAGCAAGCATTGCTTACCCACCCTCACTACTTGATTAACTTTTTTATATTTGGCATTTTTTAAATGCATTTGGCAGTTTTCGAACGTTGGTTTGGCAGGAGACCGAAAAATAATGTGTCAATCCTGAATGAAAGGGGAAAGCAAAGCACTTAGAAACGAAACGCAAAAAGTCAAAAGAGAAAGACTGTATTGGCCAGTGATACTTGCGTCCTCTTGAACCTTTTTTAAAAATTAAAAAAAATTAATGATAATAAATTCTGCAGAGTTTTGTTTGTGAACTTTGCAAAATCGTTTGTTTGTGTGTGATGGCGCGTCGCGCCCATCTCGAGATGGCCGAACTTTTTGCGCGATCTTGCCCTAAGCAGCAAAGCGGGCCCGAGACGGTGAGATCAAGTCAACAGGCGAGGGAAGCCCTGGAAGACGATAAAAATAGATGGCTGAAATACGTCATCGATATTAGGGCCAATCAGAGAGGTGTGCTAGGTGCTCGCTACAGTTTCATGTAGGCTAACTAAAACAGATAAAGATGGACTAATGATAAGACTTTTTAAAGAGAAAAGTAGATTCAAGCATATTATATCAAAGGTAGCATCAATTGCCACAGAGTGAAGGGGTGTCAAGTCTGAAAACAACGCTCTATCTTTAGCTTCCTATTCAGAATGTGTTACGAACACATGAATAAGTACCCCCTCTCATAAGTTGATAAGTCATTTTGCACTCGAATTCTTCTTTTTACCTGCAAAATGCAATGGTATTCAAAACTGTCTATAAACTTATTTTTATCAGGTTATATCATTTTGCTTAAATTCAAGCTCATTTGAAAGATTTTGTAGGCCTACAGTAAAATGGAAGTCTTGTTTCCTGCTGTCCCCACAGAATTATGCAAATTTAAATGGCCAAGTTATGCAAGACAAATGCAAAATTATGCAAGTTACCGTAACGCCTTTCACGACACGTTAAATTTGTGCTTTTTCAAAAAAAATTTCATGTTTTAGTTCTATGTACAGAAGAATTGAAAACAGAACATTTCAGTATCAGTAGTTTTTTGTATATTTGGAAAGATACACGTCAGTCAGAACCTCCCCCCCCCCCAAAAAAAAAAAAATACATGTATAATCTCTGTAACTTTCAGCTGTATAGAGGAAAGAAAAATGATTTTTACAAATTTATTTTTTTTTAAAATAAAATCTGGACCTCTGATGCTGTCACATAACTAAAACCAGGGACACCTGTCGAACATGAAACATCAGCAGACATGAGAACAACTTTTGATGGATTGAAAAATTGAACTCATGCTCAAAGAACAAAAATCCCCAGCAAGGGAAGTAACCAACTTGTCACTTAAATGAGACTTAGTACTCCGATTATTCCCCTTTCGTCATATGGCGAGGTGTTAAAATGTTTTGGGGCAAATTTTATTTAAAAACGTGAAAAAACACTGGGAATCCAAAATTATGCAAATATTGCAGAATTATGCGAAAAAATGTGGGTAAATTTGTTCTCTACTAATTTCATTGGACGAACATCTAGAGCTACCAACTTGACGTGTTTCGAATGAGACTTAGATAAAAGCTAGCCTTAGCCTACGCTTTGGTGTAGAACCAACACTGGTGATTCTAGAAGTAGGCCACAAACGCACACGAACTCAAGCTGAAATTCATATTTCGGGGAACATAAATGTGGGGGACGAGGGTTAGGGAAAGAGAGAGACCCACACACACACCCAGAGGGACAGAGAGGCGTGCATAAGCGGAAGTTCACGAACGCAGAACACCGAGCACACATAGGCTTAATCTATTCACCAACGCAAAAGAGCTCCAATTTACTCCGTGGCAATTGATGGCGTCAATTGTCATCGAGTCACAATTGACACTACCTTTAGTTTTACACACAAATTTTGACTTTATATCCCTAGTTAATTCATATTTCTTCTTCAAACTTTTTTAGATGTTAATATTATATTAAGGTTTGGAGGAATTACCGTATAATTACTTAATGCTCGACCACTGTGAAATAGAGGGTTAGATCTAGGGTATTTGTTATAGGGGGTGCCCACTAACGTGATCGGGTCCGGTTGGGTCGATTTGATAGTCGGGGCTAGCCAAATTGAGGACGCCAAGTGGCCATCGTGGCTCAAACCGATCGATTCGGTTGGTGACCTGCAAAGACAAATGCGTTTGTTTTCAGGCCCGCGAATCGCGCGATCAGGTGGTTTGCAGCCAATCACAACAAGGCTGAGTCACATGCCCGTGTTGACATTAAAAATCCGGTGGCGCCCTCTTCGAAAAAGTGCGGACTTTGCGAACAGAGTTACCCTACTTGTGCGAAAAACAATAAAAGCGAAACTAACAAACTGTGCTATTCCTATTCTTCTTTTTAAGAAACGAAAGAGAGCTTCAAAACAAAGACTCCGGCGCCATCTGAACCAATGCGCAGACTTCCGTGGAAATTATTTTGGCCGAGTGAACTATCTTGTTATGAACAATCTTTGATAATAGAAAGTTTTCGATGTAACCCATGTTTATGGGATTCCAGGCTTCCACAGCACTGCATCAGAAAACTGCAGAAAGGAGCCCTGGAAGCTGTTGAGGTTAAAGCCATTAAAGGTTTCTATACTTTAACTTCCAGGTTGTCAGGTACAATCGCGGCGGGCTTGTAGTGTGCACTGAAACCACCAGAAAACGACCCGACCCGATCACGTTAATGGGCACTCCCTTTCAGAATGGTTACTCAATTTGGAAGTCCTTTCTTGTCTTTATGATGAGAACTGTATTACAATAGGTCCAATTGTATTAATATTATTGTATGTTTTTAGCTAACTGGGGAGATCTCAGG